GCCACTGTGGTGGAATATCTTTTATAATATTGGTCAAAAGATATTAAGTTTACTTTTAAATATTTTATTTAGCACTCTGCAGAGTGGATCCAAGCTGTGGCAAATAAGGTCTGTTCTGCAATGATGACATGGGCAAAGAGTCGCCTTTCTTTATACATTTTCATGTGCTATAAAACAAAAAAGAAACATCCTTCTTCGCTAAAGATCTGCAACACGCAGCCTTCTTCTTTTCTTGGCCATCTGCCTCCTATTAAGGTGTGATCCCACAAGTAAACAAGGTCCTTTTGCACATACACAGTTTATTTTGTCTTTTGCTTAAAAGTTGAATCCCTATAAAGTCAGAGGAGAGAATGATAGTAGTATTTTTCCCAAATACACAACTACAGTGCCTGTACCAGGAGAAATCAGAGGTAAAATGTCACATGTGCAGGCAATACTGACCAGACTCCTTTCACGAAATGGAACAATAGTGTATTTATCTGTTTCGTAACTTCAATTTGTTGTAAACTTGGCCCCTGGGTTTCCACCGAGTTTCATTAAAATCAGGCAATAAGTTTACCCGTAATGCTGCTGACAAACAGTTACAGACACACCGAGCTGAAAAGAGAACCTCCTTGGCGGAGATAATGGAATTAACAAATCTCACAGCCCTGTTGGCTGTTCTTACAGCAATCTTGGGAGCCACTACTCCATTCCTACTTATATCTTTCTCCTCATTCTTACACACACACAAGGTCTCTCTTTCAGGGAGGCAGAGTTCAGGTAAGGAGTCCGCAGGAATAGAGACGCGTGCTGTAACTTTCTCAAGGACATCGATTGCTGATGTAATTCTTCAGTCCTCAGGTTCTGGTGATGTGGGACCAGTTTCAAACGATAGGCTACTCTCAGTGCTTATTGAGTAGATACAAAAGAAAGTAGCAGCAGGATCTCTATCCCTCTGTTTTACTATGTTGCTCTCATGCAGCACACATGCCTTCTGAACCGAGGGATGTGTGTTCTGTTTTTTAACATAAGCCTTTCAGCACTGTGACTACTGTATCTGCCTGATGGTTTTAGAGCTGTGAAAGGAACTGATGGAAAAACAAAAATGTGTCTTCAGCGCTGACGAGTGTTGCTACAATCAGAAGGACAGTGTTGGAGTTAAAAGCTGATATGTGGAAGAGAAAAGGGGATTTGTGCACAGTGCAGATCCTGTGTTTTGCTTTCCAGTCATTTTTCATCCGTGATTAGAGGTCACATTTGTTCTCATTGTGTCTCTTTGGGGGACTGTCATTGCTCATTGACACTTGGTCAACATTTCACAGCACCGCTGAGAGAGAAATTGGAATCACACAAGGCAGGGTATGATCATTTCATTTCACCGCGGAAGCATTTTGCAAAGCGATGAATTCATTTCACGTCATGCTACCAGCAACAACACAATCCAAATTCATCACAAAGTTGCTGTAACATTGTGAAGGCAGGAGCTTTCCATATCAGTGGGTTTTTTTTCTCCCACGCTCCACCGGAGGGGTTGAATACATCTTTGCATATGTGCAGTGGCTCAGCACGGAAAAAACAGACTTAATTCAATTTGGGAACACAGTCTTATTTTATATATAAATAAATACAAATAAAGTAGTTTGAATAAGCCTCATTTTCACCAGATGCCATATTAAAATGTTGGTCGTACATGATTACAACCAGGCACATTTTTTCAGCAATGGATTCCGATGTATCCACTATATCTGTTATGTCTATTCAGTTCATATAAGTAGAGATGATTTTCAGGTAGTTAAGAATGAATAATTCTGAAATATATGAAACACTTCCATGCAAGTTATAACTTAGACCAGGGGTGTCCAATAGGTTGATATCGGCAATTAAAATCTCTCCGGTCATATTGTCCAGTGTATTTTTGTTGTTGCCATAAGCACAATTGAAAGTCTATTCAAAATAGACAAGTCGGCACCAGCCATGGATGCCCAAAGTGTGCAACGAGAGGCCTACAGCGGCATAGTGCCTCAGGAGCGCACCAGGACGACGCGTCGGATCGTTTTTGTTTAGGAAAGATTATATTTCTAATTCAGGTGCCGTACTCATGCCGCCTTTTTACTCAAATCCCCTCGATGTACACACGCCTATTGTTCAGTGCAACTAGGGCGCCACGGCGGTGCGCTGAGTAAAACACACATCACAACACACATCTCCACAAAGACAGATGGAACATTATTTAACACGAAGAAATTATATCGATAAGATAATGAAATTGCTTTGTTGAAAAAGTTTGAATACATTAAACCCTTTTTTACTATTAACTGTTTATAGTCTCTCGTACATGTCCACATTGTTTAGTTATACAACAGCAATTGAACCAACAAAAAAAAGTTGGAAGCTGCTCTGATGCGCCCTGGGGACCGAACGTTAACTTGTTTGTTTGTTTGTAGCCTTTATTTAACCAGGTGAAAGCCCCTTGAGATCAAAAGATCTCTTTTTCAAGGGTGACCTGCTTACTTACTTTGCTGTTGTGCCGATTCTGGCTGGAGAGAGTTAATTGACAGCGATTACATGCTTTGGGTTATGCAGGCTGTAATTTCTCAATAATAGTTTCAATAAATGATTAATCTACACGCCTTGATGATGTCTCCGGACGATGCACCCCTGGCTGACACTATTCAGTTAATTTATAAATAAATATATCTGCCATTTTTTTAAACAGGTAGATCATTTCGACCTGGTCATTTTAAGAGTAGTTCACAAGTGGAAAAAGTGTGTTGTGATTTCGTGCATGTAAATGGTCTGTGACTGTGAATGGACTCTCAAAGAAAAAGCTCAATATATCAATATATCGAGTCCCATACAGATATTTGGTTCTTAAAGTTTGACTTTGGGCGCACTTCAGCTAAACCTTTGACACTTTTGACACTTTTGATTTAAGACCTGTCAAGTCTTTGGGAGATTCTAGTTATTTTTTTCTGATAACTTCGTATATTCAAATGAATGTGTTCATCACAAAAACGAAAAGAAAAATGTAACAAAAAACAGATCGCGTTTAAAATAATCATTAATTATTTCCTGATATTATATTGCAAAGATTTGAACAATCCCTGGTAAGTGCAAAGGAGATACATGTTTGCATGGTGAGTTTAATCACTTTTGATCCTATTATACAAAGTTAAAAGTGATGTGCTACTTGAGAAGATTAGGATACCTTACAAATGGTTGCTGCTTCCTCAGCTGCTGTTCTAGTTGGGCATGCATGGCAGTGGCTGCCTTAAATCCCCTCTGATTTAAATTATGTGTTTCCAGGCAGAAGCAGACTCATCCAGTTTTACAATGGTTTTATATTCAGCGCACAAGTGTAGCAGAAAGCGGCAGTCAACAAGTCAATGCTGATAACAGATTATTCTGTGTAACAAAATGAAGTGCATATAAATACACAAACACCACTCCTTTTTATTTATGGACTTGAATGAGGTAATGTGGAATAGATGAATGTATCACCACTCTTCAGCAGCTGCACAGACAGATAAGGAATTACAAAATGGATAAATGACCTCACTTCCTCTCTCTTCCGCGCTTCTTACTTCTGAAGCTTGTGCCAGTAAGCAGCTGATAAATCAGAAACGGTCACTGTATATAGCTGCAAGTATCTTTAAGGAGTCATTGTATCTGCAATGTCAGTCTTTTATACAGTAAGACAGCAGATATATAACTATAGGAAGAAGCAATAGATCCTGTTGTTGGCCACTTTTGTAGAGATAGTGGTGGCTGCTATAAAAATCCATCAGGATTCAAGCAACCGCAACAAATCAAATGGAGATTTATACCACTTGTAACGGAGATAGCTACCTGGTTCTGTTTAGGGGAAGATAGTGAGAGGGGAGTAATGCCCATTAATATTTAACTCTGCCCTTTTCAGAAACGAAAGTGAAATATCTTCAAGAAAGCTCTTGATATTCTCGTGGTATATCTAGCAGAAGATGCCATTTTGATTTGTATGCTGCATGTTTGGTATTGTATTGTGTTATAGTGTGTTGCATTTAATTAGTGCATCGTTAGTGCAAAAGTGTCAATGTGACACTTTAAAAACAAGATTAAAGTCCAACTATCCAGAAAACTTAAAACGGACTTAGAAGTAGGTGATCATCTTTGGCACAAAGATATACAGAGGAAAATAATGTTATCTCATTAACTTAAACAATACAAAAGGGGGCCTAAAACTGAACCCTGAGGCCCACTGAAATGTGCACATATCTTTGTGTACAATCCCAGCCTTTCAGTGAAGCTAGACAATAGGCAGTTTCCCAAACATCAAGGATGAAAGATGATCACATTATCATTCAAACTCTGTGAACTATACCATCAAGATTGAACAGAGAATATACATATGGCATATTAAATATATATATTTCAGTGTGGGTTGTTAATGCCTCGCTATACCAAACATGTTATAATCAACAGATCTCTCTCTGACTCTGATGCCTCCCACTCAGTTCAACTCTTTGACTCGCAGCTGCTATCGATCTTGCCGGTTGCCAGAACCTGGAAGATGGTTGAAATCCACATGGATATATCTTCTTTTTCTTTATTTTTATATATAATCTTTTATAACTTTTGAACTCTCTATGATGTAAATGTATACACATCTTAATCTGAACTCACGACACCTAAGCGTTTGACTTTAATCTCAGAATTCTGAGAAAACTTTTTCTGACTTATTCTCTGAATGTTTTTTTACAAAATGTTGACTTCTCTCACAACTCTTGGACTTTCTCCTCAGAATTCTGACTTTTTTTTGTCAGTGCTCAATAAAAAAGTTCACTTTTGGTCAGATCGTAATAAAACCCCCTAACATGTTGCTTTAATCCTCTGTTTTTTCCTTGGGGTCTAAGGACAGAGGGTGTCATACTGTATGCTGTACACACTGTAAAGCCATGAGACACATGTGTAACTTGTGATATTGCACTTTTTAAAGACATTGGATTGGTGCATTGACCCTGATTCTGGACCTCCTTCAGGTGGCCGTCAGGGGAAGATGCCGGTGACGGCGCTGGAGGCCTTTGACCTGGAGATGAAGAGTTGGACACGTTACCCCTGCATCCCCAGCCGGAGGGCCTTTTCCTGCTGCGCCACCAATGAGCGCAGTTTCTTCAGCCTGGGGGGCCTCCAGCAACCGGGGCCACACAACTTCTACTCTAGACCTCACTTTGTCAGTACCATGGAGGAGTATGATCTGGATCAGGGTAGGTGTACACCCAAATACTACTTTTTAAGGAAGCACATTGGACATAAAACTGACTGTGTTAGGTCACATAACTTTTGTATTTACTCAGATTTGGTTTCTGATTGCATTTTGTACAGGTAACTAGTCATTGTTATTAAAGTATCCCCTCCAACTCTGTTCATGATTTATTTTCAGAGATTCTGAAAAATATGTTTATTCCTTCTTAAAGGAATGCTCCACTCATTAGATAATTAATCAAAATGTCAGTATTTAGTGAAACATTATGTTTAAACCATACCCTGAAGAAATCAGCGATATTCCCCGGTAAATAATAATTTTATAGCTCTTTTTTATCAAAACCTGTATATTCCATCAGGCCGCTGCCATTTTGCCCATTTTCAGTAGTCACGTGATGGTCGTGACGTCATCCATGCGTTCACTTTGTAAACACCATATACAGTCTATGGTAAACACACGAAAACATGGCGAAGTTTTGAGCAATATGAAGAGATTGGATGGGGGAATTCAGCCATACAGGTTCGAGCCTACTTAGTACTACTTAGTAGATACAATGATTTTGATTACTAGATATGTATGCATGTAGTACCACCCTTGCTAGCGATTCCATCTCTAGTTTAGCATACTCAGCCTCTTTGTCCCTGGCCCTAGAACCACGATTTTATGGGGCCGGAAAAACTGGGGGGAAATACCCACTAGCCGGTACTACGCTATATGGAAAGGCCACCAAAAACTGGCCTGGCCTGGACGATAAAGGACGTTTAAACGGGGCTACCCGCTGCAATGGAAACGTGCCATTATTCTTACTCCGAGCACTACTTCTGGTCCTCCGTCGCTTCACACTTGCAGAGGGCGATTTCTCAACTGGCCGAACTGGTGTCCTGGTCGGTGATGACACCAGAAAGACCGATGGTACTGCATCTCCATTAAGTAATGGTTGTTCAATAAATCCCATGTTATGTTTTATCATACTCTCAGAGTAGTCGTCCGGAAACTTGAAATGTTCGCTGCATACATGCCTGTGGATCTTTCGGTTCGGGCCGGCCACATTTCGCTAGCCACTGCCTCCGAACGTACTTCCTACGCTTACCTTTTGGCAACAGATAGAACCGAGCATTCTGTGGATTGTTCCTATCAGAATTGTGGCAATGTTTCACGATACAATGAGGCATATTTGAAGAGAGTAACTACAGTAAATAACATGAACATCAACGTGTCCTCGAAACCAAACGCATGGTTTACGTCACGTCCGGTAAAATGGCGCCGCCCACAGTGTTGATGTTATTTCGGTAATTAATCAGTTTAAAATCACTGATAATGTCATCGGATTAAAAAAAAAAAAAGAGAGACTGGCAGAGACTGGTCTGTTTTATCGGATGATAATTTTTTTTAAATGAGCATACCATTCCTTTAATGTGTTATTTTGGAAACACGAGGAGAGAGAAGCTGCTTTGAATTCAGCCAGAAATAATTGTTGGTTGGGTTTATAACAATGCACGCAGTTCCAGCCTGGAGCACTTTGCATGGAGTGAGAACATGATCTGTGCTGTGCTCATAATCCACCTAAATGCAGGAAGATTATGCATGAGATGAGTCAGAACATATCAAAGCTGATGGTCATGCTGATAGAAAGAGTTCTTTTTTGATGCTCTAGATTTCTGACCAGTCATAAAAGGTGACTGAACAAATGCATTAATGCAATGTGGGCAATGCCTCCCCTGATTTAGATGCACCATTAGTTGTTATCTACATATTTGAATGTAGATTTGACTTTAAGTCTGAGTTTGGTTGCACTCTGAAAGTTAAGCAGCCAAAACGATATAAATCATTACCTTGGAAAAAGGATGATTTGTGCTTTGAATAGATACCGTAATAATAATAACATTTGCAGCAAATTGCATTTTAAGCAGCATTAAACAGAACACAGATCCTCCATAATAAGATGTAATTATGTCTGTTAACAAGAAAAAGATGAGTTTCTGCAGCTCTATGAAACGTTTTAAGAAAAATTGAAAATAATTGTGTCCTGCTTTGCATTTTTTTAATACATTTGAGTTGATTGTTTTGGTTGGCATTTCTGTCACAAGTATGCTATTGGCTAAAGAGTGAATTGACAAAGAGGCCTAGTGATGGTGGAAGAGGTCAACTTTGGCAGTCTAAACACGCGTTATATTTATGCATACAAAAATATTTCTGTACAAAGTACACATGGCAAATCAGCCCTACGCTGATGTTTCCGTTATGTTTTTATGGTCAGAGCACTGCGCTCAGAGTTCAAATGATTTCAACTTTGACCTAGTTTACCTCGACCAACTAATCAGATGAAAGCTGTTACATCATGTGAATGCAGCTTAACCTTAGCGCTTAATCTGTCTCTAATTTATCGCTACTTTTGCACCTAAAACATGATAAATAACTTCTCATTTTCCTTAATCCCCTCTGATAACATTTATAAAAACTAGCAGAGCAGCACGATTAAAATATTATCCCCATTCTAGTTAGCATAGGGCTAAACCACAAGTTATCCGGAAGTCTCTGGTGCAAATGCTCAAAGTAGCACGCAACATTACAATTACCAACAAGAAGTGTCATATAAACTGTACAAACTGTATCAACCCTCACACCCCCCATTCTGTCCTGATCCAAAGTACATTTTTAATGAATTAATCTTTTATTTAGCCAGTAGGGTCACATTGATATGCAAGATGTGTTCTACACATACTGTATATGCCATACCAGTGATTTCCATAACCCATCCCACCTGAGTCAAGGACTATGTAAATCGGCAACATGTTTATTCATGCTACATATTATAAACCATAATTAACCTTCTGGTTTCTTTAGGGTTCTGTCCTCAGTAGAATATGCTTCAAACTCTTAAGAGACCATAATTATTATTGTTAAATATGTATCATCATACTTATGAAATCAATCAACATAAAAAAAACATCTAGTGGTAACCTTTTCCTCGTCCAGCCCTAATAGAAACACTTCTGCTGTTCCCATTGAATGTTTATTGAAATACATGTGTGATGGAAATTCCAAAAGAACAAATATACAAGCTTAAACCAAAGATGTGTTATTTAATAAAGAGTTATAGCATTTAACAGAATCAAAATCCAACCAGAGAAGCAAGTGTATATACTTAAATGAGACTTAATAATACATTTACTACAACAACATGCTTGGTTGAAGATGGCGACAGATAATGGCATGCAGTAAGACAATGTAAGAAACTCAGGGCTGGCCGCTCTGCTGGAGCTTTTATTACTGAAGTGCCTGTGGTCAAGCTTTCAGCAGCTACATATACAGGATAGACCTACTGTGTGATGATACAAGAGGGTGCACTGACTCACTGTCATAACTGCAAATATGTATGCAGCAGCTGCAGACGCTACAGGTATGCTAACACTGCAGGTGCACTGCAGGTATGTTAATTAGTTAATTAGAGAGGTATAGAGAGAACTCTGTTTCCTGTTGAAACCATATGTTACACATATGTTCTGAACATAATCTTAAAGAAACAAGCTCTGTTATGAATACAAAATAGTACTATACATTTGAAACTGGCCTACAGCAAAATACCGTATCGGAGTGAACACAGGGGCTTGCAATTTAGCTTACATGACTGACACATAGTCAAATTGTAGCTTCATAGACGGAATTCAGTCCCACAGAGCCTAAATACTGTTTGATTCAGTCCGTCCTGTCTCAAATTATCCTCAGAAACAGTGATGAGTCATAGTCCTATAGATAGATATACAAATCAATGGCCTTTGTTCAAAGCTCTGTGCAATGAGTCGTGATTCGATTTACAGAAAGCAAACAGAATTGGCACTTGAAGAAAAACAAAGGAAGCTCAGATTATCAGAGTCGGATAGGGGTAATCCATTCGATCATTTTCTGAGGCTTTTGTGTGATTTTAAATTGGTTTCAGAGCAAAATGTGTAGGAGAAGATTTGTTATGATGTTTGATGATTGAGTGGGCTTCTATCTGCAGCACAATATTAAAACCAATATTTGTAAATATACAGAAAGGATTGGCAATTTTTTTTTATCACTCTTATGATTCACCGATGATGCAATGACTTGCCTGGCTTTTACTTTAAAAATTAAACATTCATAGTTTTGTCTGAAATGCAATTTTATTATTTGGAGTTTGTAACAAGGTTCAAGGTTCTTTATTAGTCAAACGAACATAGCTACAGTGTAGTTATGCAGATGAAAATCTTGTGTCACAGGCTTCTCCAACAGAGCAACACAAAACACAGATAAACAGAAAAAATATAGTGCAAGTAAATAGTAATTACAAAAAAAATCGTTTTAAAAAAGTGAAATAGTGCAATAAGAGTTGCAAGTTATTGAAATAGGATGTATAGGTAAATAGATAAATCATTTAAAAAAATGTTTTAAGTAGCAGCCAGATGAATATTGTGGATGTTGTTTCAACTGTTCAGGTGTTTAACAGTCGTATTGCCTGTGGGATGAAACTGTCCCTGAGTCTGGTGGTTTTAGTCCGGATGCTGCGGTATCGCCTGCCAGACGGCAGCAGACAGAACAGTTTGTGGTTGGGGTGATGGGGGTCTTTTATAATCCTGAGGGATTTCTTCCTGAGCCGCTGGGGGTAAAGTTCCTCCATGGATGGCAGCTCCGTCCTGGTGATGTTCTGTGCAGTTTTCACCACCCTCTGTAAAGCCTTACGTTTGAGGGCGGTGCAGCTGCCGTACCAGGCCGTGATGCAGCCAGTCAGGATACTCTCTATGGTGTAACTGTAGAAGGTCAGGATCCTCTCTATGGTGCACCTGTAGGTCAGGATGCTCTCTATGGAGCACCTGTAGAAGGTCAGGATGCTCTCTATGGAGCACCTGTAGAAGGTCAGGATCCTCTCTATGGTGCACCTGTAGAAGCTCAGGATGCTCTCTATGGTGCACCTGTAGAAGGTCAGGATCCTCTCTATGGTGCACCTGTAGAAGGTCAGGATGCTCTCTATGGTGCACCTGT